TATAAAAACTTGGATGGATGGAAAGAAAAATGCTACATGAGTTTCAATGAAAGTCATGGGTCCCATTAGTGGTCTTTGAAACTTCGAGTACTCCAATGAATTTTCTTAGAAAGTCACAACTATAGTATTAATAGAAAAAGGTAGTATTATTTGTATGTTTATATGTAAAAGTTAAAGTTGAAATATTGTGAAAAAGATAAAAAAAAATGGAAAGAGTTATGAAAAAAATAAAAAAGAAAAGTGAAAAAGAAAAAGAAAAAAAGAAAATGTTCCAAAAAAAGAATAGTGTTTTGCAATAAATTTAGTTATATTTTTAGGTCAATTATTATATATAGAATTTCTTTTTAAATTCGTGTCACTTGGAATCTAGCAATTCGTTTTGAAACGAAAGGGGGGTAAATAAAAAGCCATAGGTGGTAGGAATGCAAAAATGAATGTTGTTCAAAATAACTGGGGAGCATTTATGAGGATTGTGAGTATTTGAGGCTTGGGAAGTACTTAGGATTTCTTTAGACACAAATATATGCATTGAGGTTAAACATAGTTGATGACAACTTGGATTGTTTTGTATGATATTAGTGAGCAAAGTTTTGATGTGATATATTGAAAATAATAAGTCTTTCTTGAGGAAAATCGAAAGGCAAGTGTGGGGTATTTTGATATTAGTATATTTATACATATATTTATGTATTATTTAAATACATTTTGGCTATACTGTTGTTAATTACAAAGATATTTGGTGCTTATAAAGTATAAATTATATTTTGTAGTAAAAAAGGACATTCTCAAGGAAAAGGACAAAATTATACAAAGCTGGAAACTTGGAGGTTGGAAGAGTTCATCAATAAGGAAATAAGAGAAGAAACGTGCATAAAGAAGATCCTACGGTGTGGCTTGCACTGGTCCACATTGTGGAAGCATGAAACCTTTTCTAAGTATCTGCATGGAAGACTTGGAGCATACGCGTTTAAAGTGTCTACCACCTTGTAGAGAGCCTTTCTTCCATGACATGATGCCTAATTTTTAGAAAGTACATATTCGACTTTTAGGAATTTTTTTTGGGGAAACTGCTGAAACCTATGAGTAAAGGCGACTATAAACTTCTCAGAAACCCTTGGAAGGTTGGAAATCAATTGGAGATCAATGATTGAAGACATTATGAGTGAAGTACATCATCAATTATTCGGTTTGCTAGTTTTGACTATGTTTAATCTAGATTACTTCATGTTTATGTGTTTTTCTACTTTGATTATGGGCTAATACCCTCTACTTTCGTTTAGTGTAGATGAACCATAATACTATGTGTTGATTTCGCTAATTTATGGATTTATGAAGTTGGGTTTTACTTGTGTTTGATAAATTATATCCTATCATGTTAAAGTTATAATTTTTATTGCTTTTCCTGCAAGTTTTGTGTAATTAGATGATCACTCTTGTTGCATAAACTTGTTATCTAGTTCTTTATGATCAATGAATTTCTAGATCTAGAGATAGAACATGTCCTAGAGTTCGGTGGTAAAAGTTAGTTGCTTTAATTGTGTTAGAGAGAACTAATAATCTTATTGTGTGCTTTTATTTCTTGTCTTGACTATAGAAAAGTAATTATTAAATCTTATCATTCATAGTCTAATTAACCTTCACATCAATTTAGTGTCCACTTGTGTTTGACTATTACATAGTAGTTCATGAATTGTTATATACTAGCAATCAGATAGTAACTCATAAATTGGTAACCAACATAATTAGTCTATTGCATAGAAATCAACCATAGGAAAAGGGGGATTCGAAGCTAAACGGAAGTACATTTTATTCTAGATTAAAAAATCATTTTCTAGTTACTTGTTTTAGTTTAAAGTATTATTAGTTAGAGTGCTTGATTTAAGTTTTACTAACAGATAAACACCCCCTCCCTTTAAAGTTATTTCGTTTTAGTTTAAGTATTAGCAATTGTTTTCTGTTTAAAATTATGTTCCTTGTGTTCGACTCCTTACTTACTTTACTATACTACCACACCACTAGGTACACTGCCTAATTGTGTTTTAGCTGGTAAAATTAGATAGGATTGTAAATGTAAAACTTTAAGTGAATATAAAACACATCAGTGACCATGGTGATTTCATACGCCCCCTGTTTGTGGCTGATTAACATATCGTTTTTCAGACCATGCTGTGTTTATCTGCAAGTAATGCGTGAAGCTTACAAATTGATTAACATATTTGCAATGTGTAGAGAAACTGAAAACAAGTATGTGTACCAAATCAACACCAATGTACAGTGAAATGTGGTATAAATGAATTAGAAGTGCATAAGCAGGCTAATCTGTATGCTAATTACAGATTTTGAGTGATACATAAATGAAGGGCATAAATTAAAAGGGAATCGTGAAATTAGTACATGGGCATCAAGAATTTGATATTCCAAACGCATATGTGTTGATCTATTCTGATAAAGAAGGATAAGGAAGGCATATGGTATAAATACATGGTGCTTATTACCCTTGATGCAACAAAGAAGCGTCGTCAGCAAAAAAAAGGGCGGTGTGACGCCGATGATAGTAAGGAGACAAAAGGTGATCGTGAGGAAGACATCGATAATGAGGAAGATGGTTTGAGGAAGATGACCAGAAAACCTCATCTGAATTAAAGCTCATGTGAGTTAAACATGTGATTTGTAAAGGAAGGTTATTATCGTCCATTTGGTTGTTGTTTTTAGTTTTAATGATTTTAAAATGGTAAAAAAAAAGATTATAAATCCATAAAAATTATCAAAAAAAAGTATTTGGGTATATATGATATTAAAAAAACATTAAGAATGACAAATACCATATTCAAAGTTTAGGTCGGAAAAATACGATATATGATGTTTAGCAAATGCATATACGAAATTGCGCCCATTTTTTATGCTACTCTCGATCTAAACATATACATAAAAAACAGTTTTTGTTTTTATTTAAACAAGAACTTGACATGTATATTTTATACACATATTTTTTTCAATTCTCAGATATTTGCACATACTTTTAATTATCCAACTATTATATACAAATGAATGGGTCCAATTAAATTTCATGAAATTATTTTAGCAGTCTGTAAACATTAAAAAATAAATAGTCTTTTTTTCACACTGTAAATGTTTTGTCTACCTTTTCTTTTATAAATGTATGCAAATACATAGACTGTAAATATTTTATTACTTAAAAAACAAACAGTACCTTAATATTTTTAATGTAAGGTTTTTAATTTACAATTATTTTTAAAATTTATTTGGCCCCTTTAATTTAGATTTGTTGTTGTTTTGTTTAAAGGTAAAATGATCGTATTCAAAAGATCTATAAGTAGAAAAGTTAGATTTAATAATGAGTGGTACAAGAGAATGAAACCATAAACGTTATTACTATCAAATTTGAAAATTTTGAAAAAAAAAAAACGACTATACATGGTGTATTCACAAAAACCAAAAGTAAAATTACTCTTTATTAACATGTGCAATCATAGGGACCAAAAGTGTAATTACTCTTTATTAAATGGTGTGAGTGATGACCGTATTGTTGACTGTTGAAAAACTTTTATAGAGTTAGGGATTCGATATGCGACTTCAATAAAAGTGGGAAGAAAAATCTGCTCACAAGATCCAACGCATAATCTGTACTTTCTCCATAGATAATTGTACCATTCATACTCCAAACTATATATAAATATGTATGGAGCAAAATTACAACCATACCCCTTACCCCTTACCCCTTACTTGAGGTTTCTACTTTCTACATGCCTACAACACCATTATTCCCTGACCGAAGAGCACCAACTTCTACAAGCTTTAAAACAAGATGGCCGCTCAAATGGAGTGCCACAAGGTTCTCTAACCCGCCAATACAAGACCCACCTATGAAGACTGCCGGAACCTCCTCATCTCCGCCACCACTGTGTTCGTGGAAGACAGCAAGGTCGGCGACTTCTTCCTCCTCCAGTTCGATGACGGTGGGGTAAACACCGATGGAATAGAAGATTCGTTTCACTACATCGCACATAAAGCAGTCGGAACGGGTGAATATGTTGACAGGATTTTCGGTTATTAGTCGTTGGATCCTCATCTGGGTGGATTCAGAGGGGTCGATTGAGAGGGGAGAAGTGGTGGTCAGAGTTAATTGCAGCTTGAATTGGCTGTCGGAGAGCAGATTGTAGCAGCGGAGGCCCTCCATCACTACGATGGTTCTTCAGGGTATTGATGTCGAAAGAGGTGGAGTGGGTGGAACTGGATTTATAGCCGAAGGATGTGGAATTAAAATTATGGAGTGTATTGATTCGTTACATCATCAAAAGGAAAATGTATTACGTAGTTTCTACTCTTGCGACACCTTTATCGAGCGTTCCTGTACCTCACGCGCCTATTTCATATTTTGTTGTGGTGTTTTGTGTTTTGTTTTGAATTGTTTTCATTAAACATCCTTTTATTTCAAATAATGCAATAATTCATTTGATAATAAATATATAAAATAATTTTAATGGGAGATTATTTATAGGTAAATTAAGTTAGCCTACAAAAAAAAAGTTTAAGTATTTTATGAGAGAATAAAGATTATATTTTACTATCTTAAGCTAATCTTTTAATAATAGTGTTACTCAGAAAAATAAAACTAAAACTCTTATAATTTTTCTTTTTAAACCAAATGTTTTAAAACAAGATGGCCGCTCAAATGGAGTGCCACAAGGTTCTGAGTCGAGATTCAGCGGCTTTGTCTAAATTCTCGACCAACTTTATCAAATGGTGACCTTGAAACCGATAGTTCCAACCAAATAAGAAACTATCGGTTTCAAGGTCATCATTTGATAAAGTTGGTCGAGAATTTAGACAAAGCCGCTGAATCTCGACTCAGAACTAATCTCCTGAAGAGATAATAAAATTAAAATCACTGAATTTGAACGCTTTGCTAAGGCTGATTTGCAACAGATGGCTAAAATCAAATGGATCTCAGACGGTGATGAAAATTATCGTTTCTTCCATGGTTCTCTCAAACACAAGAACCGTAAAAACAGAATTCACGGGCTCACGATTAATGGCACTTGGGTTTCTGAACCCACGATAATAAAGAAACAAGTGCACGATTTCTATGCAGCCAAATTACAAGAGCAGTGGCCTAGTAGACCTAAATTCACTAATCCAAACTTCAAGCAACTCTCCCTAGAGCAATCGTCCTTCCTGTAATCTGCTTTCACAATTCAAGACATTAAGGATGCAGTATGGAGCTATGGTGGTGAGCAAGCACCAGGACCTGATGGATAAACTTTTAAAATCATCAAAGCGAAATGGAAAACAATCAAAGGCAATATCATTAATTTTGTCAAACACTTTGAAACAACAAGATCTCTTGCTCCAGGCTGTAACTCGTCTTTTATTACTCCCATACCAAAAGTGTCCGACCCACTCATGTTGAGCGACTATCGTCCCATTAGTCTCATTGGGTGTATGTATAAAGTGGTGGCCAAATTGCTTGCAACCAGATTGGAGATGGTGATTGGTTCGATTGTGGATGAGGTTAAATCGGCTTACATCCAAGACAGAAACATTCTTGACGTACCTTTAGTAATGAATGAAATATTCTCGTGGGCAAAACAACAACAGAAGAATATATTTTTGTTCAAAGTTGATTTTGAAAAAGCAATTGACTCAGTAAATTAGGGATATTTGGAATCCATTATGGAAAAAATGAGGTTTGGAAACAAATTGTGGTGATGGATCAAGTATTGTTTATCCTCTTCGAGGGTCTCGGTACTTGTAAACGGTTCACCCACTAATGAATTTCCTATATCTAGGGGAGTAAGAGAAGGTGACCTGTTATCCCCCTTTCTCTTCATATTAGCCATGGAGGGCTTAAACATTGCAATCAAAAGTGCATGTGAAAGTTCCTTATTTCGTGGGGTCAAATTAGCGAGAGAGGGCCCTTTTATAGCAATCCTATTTTACGCTGATGATGCGATTTTTACGGGATTTTGGAATTGCGAAAGTATCAAAAACCTTTCCAGGATTCTCAAATGTTTCCATATATCTTCTGGTTTAAAAGTGAATTTTTTTAAGTCTCGCATCTTTAGAGTAGGGACCTCTGATATTGAACTACATGAGACAGCTCGTGTACTTGGATGTTTGGAAGGTTCTTTTCCCTTCACTTATCTTGGGGTCCCGGTTGGTGCCAAAATGTCGTTAAAAAAGAAATGGAAGTCGATTCTCGATCGATTTCACTATAAGCTATCGAGCTGGAAAGCCAAAACATTATCATTTGGGGTCGTCCCACACTCATCAAATCTATTCCAGACAGCCTCCCGACCTACTGCATTTCACTTTTTAAAGCACCGTATGGAATCATTGACAACTTGGAAAAGATCAAAAGAAGGTTTCTTGAGGAGTGGGGGTGGAGATCTTAAAAAGAAAATCCACTAGATGGACTGGACAAAAATCATTGCACCAAAATATGCTGGTAGACTTGGAGTGGGAACTCTTATTGCACAAAATACATCCCTCTTGGTTAAATGGTGGCGGCGGATGATGAATGAGAAGGAAAGATTATGGAAAACTATCATTAAGAGCATACACAACTTGTACACTAAATCGGCTCTCTACATAGCTAGAAAAACAGCAAATGACGTGTGGTGCGACATCTCCAAGGTAGTGAACTTCATGAATAGTTTTAACATCGATTGTAATGAGATCTTCACTCTCATTCCTGGATCGGGAGTCAAAATTTTATTCTGGAAGACGCTTGGTGTGGTAAAACTCAATTTCAAATTAAATTCCCCAAATCATATTTAATTAAATCGATTAAATGCTGCTTATGGGAGGACCGATTATCTGCCAATGGATTCTCATGGATGTGGAAGTTTGAACCTACAGGTGCAGCAGAATTAAACGAACTTCTACAATTATACAATGCTATTGGAATGTTGGGGTATGCAAACGCCTCCAAATTTGGATTTAGTTTCAATCTAAAAATCCAATGAGGAATGCACCGTTAAATCCATGAGGAAGCTAATTGAATCAAGATTGATTTTATACAATGGGAAATCCATTTATTGGTCAAAGTTGATCCCTCTTAAAGTTCATTGTTTTATTTGGAGAGCCTCACTGGGCAGATTACATGTAGTTGATGCTTTGGTGTATAGAGGTATTTGTCTTTCCAACACCTTATGTCCTCTATGCAACAAAGAGAATGAAACAACTGATCATCTGCTTATCACATGTGAGTACACTCAGGTAGTTATTGATTGGATATTCAAATGGTGTGGTATTCAAAACAGGAGTTTCCCAAATGTCTGGGAATTCACTAATTATGCAACTACATGGGAGAACTATCCTCGGAAGAAATTGATCCTAAATATGGTGATCTACTGTCTTATCTAGAATATTTGGTTAGTAAGGAATGACAGAGTTTTCAAAAAAATTGGCGTACCCCCGACAAAAATCGTTCACATTTATTTATGCAATTGTCGATGTGAGATGGTGTACGCAACTAAATTTACTTGAACCGGGATGAGCATAGGAGGGTACGCAACTAACCAAATTTACTTGCTTAGCTACTTGCTAGCGTTGCTCTTAGGGATGAGCATAGGAGGGTACGCAACTAAATTTACTTGAACCGGAACCGGCGGTTCTTAGGATATTAGAACCGGAATCAGAACCGGCAACATTGGTTCTTAAAATTTTGGAACCGCTCCCGGAAGCGCCAGGACCGGTTCCGTATACCCGCTTCCTAAAAATGTTCAAATTAATTTAAGCCAAAAGTCACAAAAATCTTAGCAATTTTCTATGTAGGGACCTCATAATTTATATTGAGTTCACTACAGTATATACGGTCACCCAAAAAATGTGGGATCTGATGCAAACATAGCTCCAACTTGCTTATCATCAATTCTTTATATCTTAAAATTTAAATCGTTCACATTTATTTATGCAATTGTCGATGTGAGATGGTGTTTGTAGTGCAAAAATGCATCATATTAGCTGTGTATTACATAATTGTTGGATGCAATATAATTTAAACCTGGAGGTCCGACAGAAATGCTGATGATAATTCTTTTTAACGTGAAACTCGATGGAAGTTATGAGAAAAAAAAAAGATAACAAAAAGACACAATTCAATATTTTAATAAATGTTCACATCCCACTTAAGGATCAAACATTTTGTAGGTTACATTTTTCTTAAAGGTATTGCTTATTATTTTTCATAGATACCAAATTATTCGATGAAGTTTCGGATGTAAACACATTATACAATTGATCATTTTGTAGTACAATTCTAGTGAATTAACATATTTTATTTTTTTAATTAAAATATATATGATGTTAAATTCAAAATATAAACTAAATATTTTTAATTCGTTTACTGAAAACCCCTAATTTATAATTTTTATTTTAATACACTTGAAATTTTAATTTAAATACGATTTTAATTAAACACAAAACACAAATTATAATATTAAATAAACATGGAAAAAGTTTTAAAAATCTATTATATTTGTTAAAAAAATAAATATAATATTAAGTTTCATTTTAATGTGCAACAATGATGTGGTTTTTTATATTTATCCATTTTATCGTATATTAAATTAAACATAATGTTGTATAACAATTGAGTGTACTAATTATTAGTTCAAACTAAATAGCAACGATATAATTATTTTCAATAACATTTGTCAAAATTTTAATAAAAAATGTATTCCACGCGATACATAGATATTTGCCTAGTACTATAATACAAGAATGTTAAATGTTTTAAGTATCATTAGTTGTATGTTACAACTAATGAGTTAAATGTTTGCATATTTAACAAACTTATGTTATTTAATATATTTATTTTATAAACAAGTTATACAACAAAATACACTAACACGTTATATTTATATAAAATATATATTGGTAAAAGTAATTCAAATTCTATAATTGAAAGATTCTTTAATTGAAGATTAAATAATAATTCTTACAATAATATAAATCATTATTATTATTCTAAATTTATCATGATCTATATTAGAATGTTCAAAACTAGATGATTATAGTTATAATGCATGAAAAAAAAATCAAATTAATATGAGTCGTGATAAATATTTATCCTAAACATTATTATTTTAATGACATCTACCCTAAATAAATTTCATATAACTTTCGAATTCGTCCGTTTTATATATTACTATAATTAATTACTTGAAAACT